AATCTGATGCTGGACAACTGTTAGGACCTCATGTATAAACTCAAATAATACTTTGAACATCCCATATAGAGAATTGCTGCTAGTCAAGTGATCTGGAAGTTCAAACAGAATAAGATCATATATTTCAGATTTTAAATTATTTGCCTGCAATGTAAGCAACCAATTGAAAGCTAGCTGTATTGATCAATTCAGAGAAAGTCTGGTTGAGGAGCTAGGAGAGGCAAGACTCTCAAATTTTCTGGAGGAGCTGTACCAATGTTTTGTAATAATATATATCTAACTGGATGATTTAAGGAAGGGAAGTAATGGTAAGGGGAAAATAACTTAAAGCCTGTATTCCCCCAAACCACCACCTCAGTGGCCCCCTCAACATCCAATGTGGGAGAATCCCTGCAACCAAGATTCCTGTCTTTAGAAAAGCAAAGAAGAAAGTATCAAATCTATGCTTTTACTGAGGAGCCCAAGTTCATACCTGATGATGTTTGGTAAAGCATTAGCGTTAGACATAGCAAAAGATGTAGAACTTATAAATCAACAGATCATGTAACCAATAAGTGCTCAGCTTGCTTTGAAACAACACACTGGCAAAACTTTGCTGATACATTTCCAAGGAGCTCGGGGGGGGGGGCTTTCTACCTTTTAAGAACAACTGTTGACAGCAGGAAAGCATATTTAATCACTCCTATTTTTGTTGCTTTAGATTCTAGGCAGAAGTGTGACTTTCTGCTCTTGTAGACTTGAGAGCAACCAGTAATTTCATAACTATAGAAATAATGCAGAAACTAAAGTTGCCTACTGAAGCTCTAGAAAACCCAATATTACCTGAGATGATTGAGAGATAGCCACTAAGAGCAAGACTGACTTTATAGCTGGATCAGCAAAAGTACATTCATGTTCCCGTTCCACCTCTGGTGGCATGAAAGATATGCAACACTTTCTGGGTTTTGCTAATTTTTATAGGAAATTCATCCCTAATTTTGTTGACCATCTAAAACTGCTGACCCAACTCCTAAGAAAGGATAAGCAATTTTGATTAATCCAGGAGCAAACAGCTTTTCAAGGATTAAAACACCTCTTTATTTCTGAACCTGACCCGTCCTGTCCCTTTGTGATACATAGGGATGCTTTCAGTATGGCAATAGGGTTGCTCAAGCACAGAAGGGAGGGAAACATATTTACCATTGTATTGAGCACAGTGGTTAGAATGCAGTATTGCAGGCTAACTGCCTACCGTAGGAGTTTGATTCTGATTGGCTCAAGGTTGACTCAACCTTCTATCCTTCCAAGGTCAGTAAAATGAGGAACCAGATTACTGGAGACAATATGCAAACTCTGTAAACTGCTTGGAGAGAGCTGTAAAACATTGAAAAGTAGTATTTAAGACTAAGTGCTACTGCTATTGTTATTACTATTGTGGATCTTTTACTCTGGTATGTCCTCCCAGCTGAAAGAACCTCTGATATTTTTTAATAAAGAATTGCTGGTAGTAAAAAAATGCTATTCAGTTATTGAGATATCTGCTGGAAGAAGCAATTCATCCTCTACAAGTTATACAGACCCTTAAGAATTTAGAGGTTCTGTAAAACATTCATCTCTTAGCAAGTTGCTTTGATTTTTACAAATATTCTGGGTTTCCAAAACAATTTTTCAGATAGTGTCTCACCTAAGACAATTCAATATATGTTCTCCTTCCCTCCTCCCCCCCCTCTCTTTTTCACTCACACATACACACACACACACACACACACACACACACACACACTAATTCTCCAGCTATGCAATTCAGGACATGAGGGCCAGAGACAAAAAGATTTCTGATGGAGAGACAACTCTTGTGTAATTTGGGCAGTTACCAGCAGAAGAGGGGAGTGACCCAACTGCACTTTTTTTCTCATAGTCCAAATTCAGTTTCCACTATGAACTCAGGACTAAGGCAATGAGTCTGAAGGGGAGAACTGTGTAATGGAATCCAGGAAAAAGTCTAGGCGAATGGACCAACAAATGCTGCCTAGGGAATTATCAGATTAGCATAACTCATAGCTGTATAATGGACAGGGCAAAAGGCTCAGAAGACACCCTCCCTAGTGTAAAAGAAACAGAAGAATTGTATTTTCAAACTTGCAATATTCTGTTACAATAAAATTGAATTAGCTCATCTGGTTGTATTTTGAATCTGGTCTACCTGATAAGTTAGTGGGTATTGTTTACTTTGTCTTTTTAAAAAAAGCATCTGTCTGAAAACAAAGACATGGGTTTTATAACAAGTAGATTCTTATTTGTGTGCAAACTTATAGCATGATAAAATAACATAATTTTGTGTAATTTTTTTACCACCTATCAATTAATGTAAACTTTCTGGTTAGAAAGGCAGGATACAGCAAGAACTGAAATAATAAAATGCCATTTCAAATCATTTTTCTAGTGTAAGAAAAATACCTAAGCTGGTTCATTTACATTTATAATCCATTTACCATATTTTGGTTCATGTGTTAAAAAGATTTTAATCATTAATACCATGATGGAACATAAGAGAAACTATAAAACAAGCTATATCTGTAAAAGGAATGTTGCATCTTGCATACTCCACCTTACTTGTATAAACATATTTTGATATCTGTTTTTATAGATTTTGAGGTGAGGAAGACTTCGTTAAAAGAATTGTTTTTTTTCCCTAGTAGTCACAATTTCAATCTTGCTTTACCTGTAATATGAAAGCAGATGGTCTGCATCTCTTTTGAATATTTATAACTATCAAAAACAATCTCTTGTTATTCACCCTTAGGCTTATGAGATGTCAGAACTGTTCTAGTAGAGAAAAATTGTCTTGGGTGTTTACTAAAAGAGGATTATATTAAGCTGAAATGACTATACATTTTCTAGTTTAATATTTGTTCATCAGCGGTTTAATCATATTTAGATAATAGTGTAAATAAGTTGTTGTAACTCTTGTCCCCTCTACTGATCTAGCTTGAATGCTTTCATTATGCAAATACAAATATCTATTTATTTACTTTCTTTAAAAAAATCAAAAAGACCTGTTAAATTTTTGTAGATGATACTTTGAATTATTTTGAACATATGAAGAATATAGCCTAATATCTTTGTTCATTAGGTTATTAGGTTATTTCAGAGAACATTTTTTTTTTTTAATTTCCTGTTATACTATTTGGCACCCTTTCGTAAGCAGCACATTGTCTGTTTTAATCCACAAAGTTGTTCATAATTTTTTATCAAAGATGTGTATGACTAAAGCTTAAGATATTGTTAAAGAGGATAGAGGATATTTGGTTATAGTGGAGGATAAATGGATTTTTGACCTGCAGCTGAGCAATCACAGATAATAGATTTTGTAGTGGCTGGTTGAGTTGGCAGTAAAGCATGAATAGTTTTAGTTTAGATAATTGAACTGACCTGATTAATGTTGTTCTTTGTTGTTTTTCAAAAAGACAACAATGCACTTTCAAACACAGCCATTTATGATCGGAGAATCTATATTCAGGTTATTATAAACTTATTCTGAATGCAATCTAAAACATTGCATTCATTCCTGAAGAATGAATCAAATATAAAAAAGTTATCTTAACAAAATAAATAAATACAAGTAGATTTGCTGAGAATATATTTTCTTTAAGTTAGAAAATGTATGCAAAATTATTTGGATGCCACTATTCTTGTTATATGCATACAACTCCAGATATTGAATGAATTTTAAAGCTGACCAGATGAACCAAAAATGAACTTTAGAAAAAAAATTCAATCCCTATTGCCATACAGTTATGGAAGAGATAATTATAAATAATGCATTTGGCTGCAAAAGAAAGCTCAGACTGTGGCAGATGGTATCATCCCAATGTAGTAAGGCTTTTGCATAGGTGGCGCCATTTCAGATCAAATCTTCATCAGACAATCACAAAAAGAAATACAGCTACTGGGTATGTATACATGTGGGTACTTTTAGATGGTGAGTCATATGAACTAAAGTAAACTAACAGTAAATGTGGAGACAGGGTTCTGTGAGTTTTTAAAATATTTTTTCTGAGTTATTTCTCAAGAAAGAGCAAAAGTTGTCATCAAATCATAGATACATCTACTTCTGACTCCATACTACTACTGATGCCATACCATATTCTAATTAGTTTCTTAGGCTTACAGACTTTTACATCTACAGCAAAATACAAAATAACTGAAATTGTCTAAGTTTTTGTAAAACTGATTATCTTCAAATGAATCTATATTCTGAAGCTGAAGATACTATAGCAAAGTTTTTTTTTCATCAACCTATAAAAAGGATTAATCAGTGTAAGGATTAATCAGTGATCATTTTGGAAGATAATGTATGCATATATGAAACAGAATGAATGCAATAATTCTTTGTAAGGATCTTCTAACAGTAATCTTTTAAACCTATATTTGTAATAAGATCATATAGATGGCAATGAGAAAGGAGAAGCATATGGTGTATTTTTTCCTCCTGGAAATAGATTTTTAGCAATAATTCTAGAGATGATTTAGTTATGCATTGAAAATAGTGAAATGCATTTGAAAATTATTTTGGTACAATTAAGGCAAGTTGTTCATTCATTATGGCTTTTTGAGCAAACAACCTTCATGAAAAACAATATATGAACAATGTTGTATAGTAGTTTCCCATTTTGTTATCCCTCTTAATTTCATATAATTATAGCTTTCAGATATAAATTCTAGCTATGCCAAAACATAAACTTTCCTTGATTTGTAATATTTTTGCATAGTTGTTAATATTTTTGTTATTCTTATATCCATATATATTTGTGTGGAACAAAATGTGATATTAAAACAATATTTAAATGTAATGTAATGGCTGCTGAATATACTGCAAGATTTGCTGATATAAATGGTTTAAATTGTAACAAAATAAAATTGAATATTGTCTTATAACCGGGAATGTTACTCATCAAATAATTAAAATACCTTCTATTAAACACTGTAGTAATATAGTTGCTCTTTCTCTTCTTTTTTAGAGTATGATATCTTCCATTGTGAACAGCACTTACTATGCAAATGTCTCAGCAGCAAAATGTCAGGAATTTGGGAGATGGTATAAACATTTCAAGAAGGCAAAAGATATGATGGGTAAGCAAAACGATCAAAGTTCAAGTGGTATTGTCTACATGCTTATGACTGAATACATTTTAAGCTTTGTCTGGATAGTAGAAATCTGATAATGATGTTTGATTCAGCAAATATTTGATAACATTTTGCAAAATATGGAAAGAAGGAAGGAAGAAAGAAAAGAAAGAGAAAGAAAGAAAGAAAGAAAGAAAGAAAGAAAGAAAGAAAGAAAGAAAGAAAGAAAGAAAGAAAAGTATCACATATGTTTAAGTTTCAAAATCAGCCCTAAGTAGGTACCACCCTTTCCATAGTTTGGAAAAGATATTTAACTTATTTTGCAAATTAAATATAGCCCATGGCTCTTACATGACATTTGTTAGTAATAACAGTCTGTAATATTTGCAATTGTTATTGAAAATATTTTCAGAAGTATTTCATCTATAACAAGTGTTACAATATGTCCTAAGTCAGTATTATATTACTTCCTTGTTTGTTACATATCTACCTCAGACAACAAAGAATATAGAATTGGCAATAAGGCAGTCATATAAGAATTTCTGCTGATCTTTATATACAGAGTAAAGTAAACCATTTGCAACTGTCTGTACATGAGAATGGATACAACCTGAATTAGATAAAACATTGATTTACATAACTCTTATTTATTTCAGTGAATGTACTATAAATATAACAGAATTTGCATTGAGTCCATCTTCACATACAAATTTAACAAGTTTTGTTTTTGAAACTTTACACACACAGAGTAAATAAACAGAAGTGTAATTAGTGATGCAACTTATATAAGATGTCATACTAGCCTATATTTGATAGTTATGATATAAATGTTGCACACAATTGTTAGTTGCACATAAGATTTTAGTTTCTCTGACTGAGATGTAAAAACATGAGACTTATTTAATTCCATCAGCAATATCATAAGTGAAGACATAATGTAATCTAGTTCAAAAATATTATGAGATACTCTGTGAAATTACTAATACAAATTCTAATACAAAATTTCAATTCTTGATGAGGCAGAAAAACTTACATGACTTACTAATTCCAGTCTCTTTAGGTAAGGTCTGGGTAGTAATCAACTTAGCAAAATGGGTATCTTTTATTATACGATTTTAACATTTGAAAATTTAGGCAGCATTTTCACCAGAGAGATTCAACAGGTACAGAAGGTAACAAATTACAGGACAGAAAAGCTACTGGCCTAAGAAGGAAAATGGAACAGACTGCAGGTGAAGTTATGCATGTTCATATTTGAAGACTGAGAAATAAAGTAATGGCTTGCCTATATGAAAATATAATTAGTCTTTGCGCATGTGTGTTGTAACTAAAGAGCAATACTGTATACTACTACATTCCTTCCCGGAAACACTACCAAGGCACTGAAAAGATTAGCAGGTGACATCACTGTTGCCCAGGCAATGCTTAAGGGGGCTCCTGTCATGTCCCTATTATTTTCCCACTGAAGTGGTACCTATTTATCTACCAGCATTTGTATGCTTTCAAACTGCTAGATGAGCAGGTCCTGGGATAAATTAAGAGGAGCTCATTACACCACACGCCTTGCACTCTCGAGTTTAGAACAGTGGAGCTGTCAAACTCTAAATGGTCTTCTGACTCAGCATTCTAACCACCGCTACTCCTATAGCAATATTGTATAAGATAGACAGACAAACAGACATATGGTACTCCTTTAAAATACTTTTTTGTTTGTTTATTTTTGTGGATAAGCTGAATAATGCAAATTAGAAATCTTTTTAGAATTCTAAGTGGCTGCACCATTTCTCCTGTCTTTCTTCACCAGATCTGGGCCTATGAATAAATATCTGCAAACTCTAATACAGCAAATGGCCAATTTTGAAGCATTAAACACGCACTATTAATACTCTAATGCAGTTCAGCCTCCCACATAAACAAAAATGGTTGCTGGTACTGGATGTTGCTTAATGCTCACAGGCATTTTTTACCCCAAACTTATACCACATCATGCTTTCTAATGCAAGAGTAAAAATGCTATATATACTATATATATTTTAAAAACTAACATTTTAAATTGTATAGATAAATGTCTAAATTCATACACAGAAATGGTTTGATGCATAACCAAAGTATTTTAGGAATGGTGTCTTCAGTTTTATGCTAGTTCAGTTCTTCATTTTTCAAAAATCTGTTTTGAAAAAGTATTTACTTGTTCTAAGCTAAAAGTAAAAAATCCCACAAAGCAAGGAAAACAGCTTCTGTATTGTTGTTAAGAAAGATAAACCTTTTCAGCTACTGTACTACATAAAAGAATTAAAGGCTCCTAAACAAGCAATAGAAGTAAATTGTTTTCTTTTAAGTTATGGTCTTTAAAGGCAACCATCCATCTGCAACTAGCTTTATCAGTTTGGTTGCTTCAGAGAATTAGATAATCAAGAGCAATATGGATGGACTAGGATTCATATTTGCTGTTTGCCTGATTACTTTTAACACTTCAACAATTCTTGGAACATAGCTAGCCAATTTGCCCTTTGCATTTAGAAGGCAAATGTCTGTAAAAGTTTAAGAATGCATCTATTGCACACTTTTTCAGACCCAGAGTCCGTTTTCATGGTCACTCTTGCTTTAGTCATATAATGCGTGGACTTGCGGTTGCAGAGGCTGCCTTGAAGACTATTGAAAAGCTGCAGCTGGTTCATCCATGTACACCTCTGCTACTTTAATATCAAGTGAGCTTCTGCTGAAATTAAAAGTGCTCTAATCTTTTATAATCTCTAAAAGCATTTTTGAACAGAGTTCAGCTACCTGAAGAACTACCTCTCTCACATCATTTCATGTCTGTGATATAGTTAGTCATATTAATGTAATTAAATAATTAAATAAATTTCTGCCTGCCCTGTAAGTTCTGATTGAGTACACACCCTTCATGTTCCATCTATTAAGTAATATCTTTGGATGGATCTTAGAAAGTGCACCTTACCTATAATCCTATATCTGGTGTCTAGAATAATATGCCCTTGGCCTGCGAGGTTTTAGATTATTCTTAAAAACTTGCCTTTCTCCCCTTGTAAGGTAGATTGTGACTAATTGATGTGAATTGTTTGATACAGTTGTAAAAGTGTTTTTCTTAGTACATAAAGCTGTTATTTTATTATTTTTAGGAATTAATTGGTTTTATTTGTTTCCTGATACAATTGGGTTTTTATTTGTAGTAGTCTTATGAATCAAAATTATAATAATAAACATAAATAACCCATAGGAATTTTGGTTCTTCTCTATCCTTTTCAACAGTATTACCTCTTTAAATAGAGTCGGTATTTCAGACTTGGGCATTTTATGGCCCGCGGGCCACATCCAGCCCTTTGACTGTCCCTGTCAGGTCTGCGGTGACGGCGGCTGGGGGAGCGGTGGCTGCGGGGGGGAGGTAGTAGTAGCCCTCCACAACAGTCTGAGTTTCTCATGTGGCCCCTTGGGAAAATTAATTGCTCCCTCCACTCTATCTGCAAATATACTTACTGAAAAGTGCTTTGAGGGGTTGCCTTCCTTCAGGTAAATATAATATTCTCTTGTTGTTATAACTATATTAAGTATATTTTTCAAGATCCTGATAAAAATTGAAAAAGTTCCTAATGTTCTTTCAATCAAATACATATACTTAAAGGTAGTCCTCTACTTACAACCACAACTGAGCCCAAAATTTCTGTTGCTAAACAAGACAGTTGTTAAGTGAAGTTAAGGCCATTTATGACCTTTCTTGTCATGCTTGATAAGGCAACCACTGCATTTGTTAAGTTAGTAACACAGTTGTTAAATGAACCTGGTTTCCCCATTACCTGGCTTGTCAGAAGGTTGCAGAAGGTGATCATAGGAACCCGGGACATTACAACTGCCATATATATGAATCAGTTGCCAAGCATTGGAACTTTGAACATGTGATTATGGAAATGCTGAATCTGTCATTAAGTGTGAAAAACAATCATCTGTCACTTTTTTCATTTTTTCGTTGCTTTTTTTGTTTGAATGGTCATTAAATGAATTATTTTAAGGACTACCTCTGTGTGTGTGTGTGTGTGTGTGTATGTGCGTGTGTGTTTGTATACACACACATACATTTATATCATATTATATTATATTATAATATTATATTATAATATTATATTATATTATTATATTATATTATATTATATTATATTATATTATATTATATTATATTATATTATATTATATTATATTATATTATATTATATTATTAAGGTGACCAACGTTTTTACAATGAAAAGGAGGACACAAATAAATTGAAGAAAAAAAATTGTAAATAAAAAAAAACATTTTATTCATTGCAACAATAATAAAGACAACTTGCATGTGCAACGTTTGCCAGCCAAGTGTTTTGGCGCACTCAGCAGCAATTCCTATTGGCTTTCAAAAGCCAATAGTGGGAGTAGCAAAGCACATGCAATAGTTGAAAAAAAAAACCATCAAAAAAAGGTGCCGGAATGCCATTCTGAGCTTTCTATAAGGAAAAAAAAAGCGCTGCAGATTAGTCTTCAAATATCGAAAAGGAGGACATGTAGAAGGACATTTTTCGAGGAAGGACAGAACTTACAAAAGGAGGACTGTCCTCCCTAAAGGAGGATGGTTGGTCACCTTAATATTATTATTATATTATATACATATTTTAAGTGAAATGAATTTAAAAAACAAAAATAATGAGTGTCTGTTGAAAAGTATGGAGATAGATATATGCATATCTATTTCTATATAAAAATAAATACAATATCATTTATATTTATATAAAAATATGGATACAAAATGTATAAAACTATCCTTATATATTGGGATCTTCTGAGAAAATAATGTAAAGTTTGTGAAAAATATTTGAAAAAACTCTTTGCTTGCATGTGAATCTGCTTCTTAAAGGTGCAACGAATCTGCTTTGAAGCCGAAGGTTTGTAGCCAGATGTGTGTTCAGAAAGAAGACATTGAAGAAGAAAAGATTTGCACATCCCTAAAGTATCATTTGATTAACATCTCTTGAATTGAATGCTGAGAATAAAAAGAGCAATGATCCAAATTCAGCTATTCTTTTTTATATATTCATTTATTTCCTTGGACCAAATATTTATATTCTGTTTTCTCCTTCTTAGCTGAAATGGACAGCCTTTCTGAACTATCACAACAAGGTGCCAACCATGTCAACTTTGGTCACCAGCCAGTCCCAGGAAACACTGCTGAACAGCCACCATCCCCTGTTCAGCTTTCTCATAGCAGTCAACCATCTGTTCGGACCCCACTTCCAAACATGCATCCTGGACTTACTCCCATTAGTCCTCAGTTGGTAAACCAACAATTGGTAATGGCCCAGTTGCTAAACCAGCAGTATGCAGTGAACAGACTTCTAGCCCAACAGTCCTTAAATCAACAGTACTTGAACCATCCCCCTCCTGTCAGCAGATCCATCAACAAGCCGTTAGAACAACAGGTCTCAACTAACACAGAGGTGTCTTCCGAAATCTACCAGTGGGTGCGTGATGAATTGAAACGAGCAGGAATCTCACAGGCAGTTTTTGCACGTGTGGCATTTAACAGAACTCAGGTTAGCCTTTTTTAAAAAAAATGTATATAATTTATATATAGCTGGTAGTTAACCACATATAGACTGATTCCAAACATCCTTACTTGTGCTAAGAAATTTCTTTTTTCTTTTTGCTCTTTCTTTATCTTCTCTATCTTTTCTTCATCTTTCTCTTTTCTTTATAGATCTCTTTTAATGGCAATTATTTGGGAAAGACAAAATCTTTTGCTAAGATTTTTAAGAACTATTTGATATAATTTCCCTTTATCCCCATATTATTAAATGTTGCACATTCATCCTTATAAGGGTACAAGTATGGATTTGTTTATCTAGATCAATTATAAAGCTACAGTAATTAAGAACTTTTTTATCCACATTATTGGCTCAATTCACCTCTCTCTAAATTAATTACACTTTGCACATGCTGTGGTTCTGAACACATAGAAGCAATATTTGCAAGCTGAAATCTTGAACTATATCTTTTAATATTACTTATGCAGCAGGAACTGTTGCTATCTAGCCAGCAGAGGAAAGTGAATCACATAATTCTGGAAAAAGAATTACCTGGGAGGAAATAGTTGTGTTTGTTTCTTCAATTGCATCAATACACTCAACAATAGATACTGCAGATTTCAACATTCAACCCTAAGCATTGTATTTCGGACTATTACTGTGCAATTATCTCAAGCAAATGAATTAGCCAAAACTAAATAGCAATCATTAGGTTACTTCAGAGCTTGCAATAAGGTCCTTTCATTTTTTGATATCTGCACAAACAGAAGATAAAACCGTTCAAGGATAACAAAAGGAAATTTATCCAAAATAGATACGTAATTAATCCAAGCTCTAAAGTTTGATCCTTGAATTATTTCTGAAATATTAGAAAGTATAAAAATGTGCCTGGCATCAAATATATATATCATATATACATATACATACACACATACACACACACATATAACTTAAATACACTACTATAATCCAATTGTATATTTTATAGTTGTATAAAATTATTACTTGTGTAGATGGTGCTCCACAGACTCTTTCAAACTGGTTTTTTTCAGAGACTAAAGTATATATGATCCTTTTATTCAATGTTTTTATTTCTATTTTATTTCTAAAAGGAAACCCAGTGTTGTAAAACAAATGAGAGCAAATTAAATAGTATAAAAATACCACTTTGAAAAATATTCTGCTAAAATATGGCTTCAATGCCTATTAAATAATATATTTTTTTTAAAAAAAATAGTTCTATAAGTGTAAATTGTGTCTAAAGTTCTGGTCTAGAAACACTCTCTTACTAGGTAAAATTGAGTCATTTGTTCTCAGTTGGCTCACAGAATTCTTATTGTGGATAAAATAGGAATGTACACACCTTTGAGTTGTCCAAAAATATAGACAAGAATCTCTCTCTGAGGGAGATAGGTAGTTAAGAAATGGAATGAATGAATGAATGAATGAATATCTGTAAAGAAAAGAGACCATAACCTCTTGTATAATTGAACTATAATTGTCATATGACAATTGTATAACAATTCTAATTGTATAACAATTCTTTATTATGAATAAAGTCGGAAATTCATATCTCTAACTTTTTAACAATCAAAAATGCCAACTAAAAATATGTTGAATACTTGCTTAATAATTTCTTAATCTACAGCATTACTAGCATTTCTAGGCTTCAAAATCTCCAAATATCTATTGCTATTTAAATCTTCTCCATCCTTTATATTTTTTCTTGCACAACTTAAACAGATTTTTTTCTTTATTAAATTAATCAACTTGGACAATAGTTGGAGTTGTCATGTATATATCAGATAAAGGTACTTGGATTTATTCTCAGATAGATTCTGACCTTGTCACAGTCCAGAGGAGATGTCTAGGGAAGAGTTTTACCCAGTTATCTGGAATTGTTTTGACCCTTTTGACCTGGTAAGTTGACAGGGTCCTAAAAAGCTGTGAGCATGGCCATTTGCTCTTTAGATTTATGACCTTCCTGGTTTGTTAAAGCAGCCTGGAAAAGGTCATGTGAGTGGGTTCTGACAGTGATTAATTCCTTTTTGGAACAAGGCATTGTTCTTATACCATTAAAGAGGGTATCCCCATCTCAAGAAGACATTATTTTACTGGACAATTTTCTTTCAGTATCTCACTTTCCTTTTGGGGGGTAAGATAGTAGAGAAATAGTGCAACAGGTTCAGAGGGCCATGGAGGAAGCAGATTATCAGGACACTTTTCAGTCAGGATTCAGACTTGGATATGGGATAGAAAAATCATTGGTTATGCTCTTCATGACATTTTGGTGACCTTTGACACCATTGACTATGGTATCTTTTGGGCTGGGGTAAACATGATATTGTACTGGTTCCTTCTTTGGGTTGATTCAAATTGATTATGATTGGGGAGGAGAGGTCCTGCTCTTGGCCCTTCTACATGGCTTTCTCCTTTCCTTTTTAAGATGAGGCCATTGGGTAAGTGTATCTGTCGCCAGGAATGAAATTATGCTGATAATATCCAATTGTACATCTTTACCTCTAATGAACTAAGTAATACCATGACTGTCTTATCCCAGTAACTGGAGATTGTGAAGGTCTGAATAGGAAACAACAAGCTTCAACTGTATCCTGGCAAGACTGAGTGGCTTTGGTTTGGGCCCTCTGATCCAAGTTTATGTCGTCATATGTGTTAGTCTTCAGTCGCCTAATCATCTTTGTTGCTTTTCTAGGCACTCTTTCCAGAGTCACAACATCAATGGTTATATGTACTTCTAGGACAGTGTATGTTATATCTCTGCTCTGTGAGCTGCACTGGCTACCAGTTTGCTTGTGTGTCCCATTAAGGCCCTGGTTTTAACCTATAAAGCCTTTTAGGGCATGGGCCTAAACTACCTGAGAAACCCCCTCTTCTCACTTATATCAGCCTACTTAATCAGATCTTGCAAAGAAGGCATGCTATGTACTATTGGTCAGAGATCTACATTTGGTAGGTCCCAGGAAATGAGCCTTCTCTGCTGTAATGTCTGGCTTATGGAAGATCCTTCCCCCTAAAATTAGATTGGCCCTATTCCTCTGGATATTCTGAAAGATCCTCAAGATATGATTGTGTGACCAGGCAAAAAGTATTATGAAACTGGATATTTGGCCAGATTGCTCCATGGTTGAGGAGGTTATTTTTTTTTAATTCTCTCTTTACTTTGATTTTATTTTGGGTTTTTAAGATATTTATTACTACTTTTTTATATTTACAATTGCTGTTTTTATATTTTTTATTTATAGTTGTATGCCATCCAAAGTTGCCTTCAATAAGATGGGTGGCTATATAAATTTGATTCACAAATAAATAAAACAAACAGAAATTATTGCTTGATTTTTATAATTCAAACTTCATTAGCAAAGTCCAGCAATTTAAGGTTTGAAAATAAAAAATATGACTCTTCAAGCATTTTGAAAGAATACATTGAAAATATTTGTGATCTTGACTCTATGACTTTTTTCACTGAATGTTGGAATAATTTTCATATTTCATCTACTAACTTTTATTAAATTGAACACATTGAAACTATGAGATGTTTCAGCTTAGAGCAGTGTTTCCCAAACTTGACAATTTTAAGGCATGAGGACTTCAACTCCCAGAATTCCACAGCCAGCAACGCTGGCTGTGGAATTCTGGGAGTTGAAGTCCACATGGCTTAAAATTGTCAAGTTTGGGAAACACTGGCTTAGAGGATTCATGAGGGTTGTTTTCACTTCTTTCACTGATGTATGTGTGGCTATTTTATCATAAGAACAATAATTAAGTGTAATTAATAATCTTAAGATTTCATTGAAATTGCTAAAAGATTATTTATGAATCAGCATGGATAGGCTTGTAGCCATAATTATTGCAGCCATTTTGCTAATACAAAAAAATCAATAACAAATGAAAACTGCACAGTTTGATTTTAACAATATAGTCTTTGATTTACAGTCATAATTAAGTCAGAAATTTCTGTTGCTAAGCAGAAATTAAATGAGTTATTAAATGAGTTTTGCCCTATTTTACAACCTTTCTTGCCACAGTTGTTAAGTTAGTAACATGATTGTTAAGTGAATTTGGCTTCCCAGTTGACTTTGCTTGTTAAAAGGTCGCAAAAGGTGATCATATGATCCTGGGGGGACTGCAACTGTCATAAATACATGCCAGTTGCCAAGCAACCACATTTGAATCATGTGACCATGGGAATGCTACAGTGGTCGTAAGTGTAAAAAACAGTCACAAGTCACTTTTTTCAGTGCTGTTGTAATGTCAAACGTTCACTAAACGAATGGTTATAAGTTGAGGACAACCTGTAATTAAAATTAACAGTCTTTCATTGTAATTTTATTTGCATATTAGATTTGTTTGCTTCCTATCTCACTTAGAGTGATTATCAGAGAAATAATATTAAGTTCTTTTGTTGAGACAAACAATATCATAAGGTTATACTAATTTTTTTAATTGCTACATAGGTGATCTTTGTTTAGTTAAGTGAGACTATGATTGTGCTTATGATCATATTTCAGCTTTACTTTGCTTTACAGAACCACGAAGATCATTAATGCAATGATTAGTTGTTAGGTTACTTTTTCATCACTATTGTAACTGTGACTGACTAACCAGGCAGTTGCTAAATGAGAACTACCTGTGTTACTATTGTACTTACTAGAGATTTTAGATATAATATTCAGACAGGTATTTCTAAAAATACAAATATTTTTACATTACATTTATCAATGATAGATAATGAAACTAGATAAAACTTACAAAAATAATTGAATTTAGCTCCCTGTGTTTTTTAATGTCTATCCCACTTGTTAAAGGAAAAGGCCATTATGGATCAAGTGAGAAACGAATTTAAAATGCAGTAAAGGTCTATCCAGGTTACCAAGTTTGGTGTTCATTTCTTTCTTCTTCTTTTTTCATTTCATGTTTGGTACCCTGTTTATTTTCCAGTAAAATGAAGGATGAAGATGGATTATTCAAAAATGATAACAGTAATGGACCATCTTATAATGTTTTATTGAATTTGAGTTCTGCAAATTATGTGGTAGAGGGAAATTTGCCTGCTTAAGTATAAAAGAAATTGCTACTGTGTTCATATAATTCTTCATAGTGTAATTTAAGAAAAACTCACTACCCATATTACTGTTTGAGTAAAAGGTAAAAAGGTGCTATTACACTATCATGACAGCTCTCCTCTTGCTAATAAGTGACAAAGATAAATGTGTCTGCTTATATGTTCCTTGGCAGGACTCCAGATATGCGGGTGGAGTTTGAAAATAATGTTCCACCTGGATATGAGATGTCAATCCACTGCAATGCAGATAGCATACAGTGATGTTAAGCATATTGGTATTTGGGGGCGAGGGAAAGTTTCAACATATCATAGTTTTCTTTGGAGAGCTTTGAAATTCCATGAAGCTGATAAAAATCTTTCTGAAATAGTGATTATATTTAAAGATCAGACAAACTGTGAGCCAAAAAGCTGTGCTTGAGTTCTCTCATTATGAAAAAATTTGTAATTAGCACTGGAAGCACTTGATATTTTTAAAATAATTTCTCTATTTATGATAATTGTAAAAATTTTAATTACTTTTTGTAATGTGGTTATGATGAACATACTGCAAGGGAAAATAAGTAAATATAATTAAATATTTCCTTATTTCATACAAAAATCTGAACATAATACAATTGTCATCAAAAATATAAAACAAAAGGGATAGAGTGTTGAGGTGTGATATTCATGGAGGTAAGCAACAGAATAGTAAAGTAATATAAGTTTTAAACTCCAAATCACTATCTAAATTAAATTGTATTATGATTGTTATTAGTCTGTCTGAAAATAGCTTAGAAAGGGCTCTTATGCAGAAAATATATTTCTCACTATTATGAGCCAGATATACAGCCTACAAACAGAGTCATCAAGTGCATCATGTTTTCTGATATGTTAAAAACCTAATGGTATTGCAGCAAGAAAACACAAATGATTGTAGATCTGAACAAAAATTGAATAATAACATAAATTAAGATACAAATGACATTTGGCTATCTGAACAGAGAATCATTTTCTATGAAAATGGATTTAATTCTGCATAGATATTTTAATACAAATAGACAAATTTAATATAAATGTTTTTACTTTTGTACTATATTACTAGTGTCTAAAAATTTTGAAATATACAATGGAAGTAAAGGGTCTGAGTTAGATTATAGAAAGTAAGATTTGGAGGTGTAGAATCATGAAGTAAACTATGTGATTTGGAAACAAATGCATAGTGGTTCAATAAAATATCTAGCAGGATAAAGAAGAGGAAAAAAATAAGGACAGTATTTCCCACTAGTGAAATGCAATCCCCGTTCCTCCAAACCCACAAATCTGCTTCCAAAGATTTGAAGCATATAATTTTGGAAATAGAGAGCTAGCAGAAATTTGTACAGATAGTGCTCAAGTTATGACCACAGTTGGATCAGAATTTTTGTTGCTAAGCAAGGCAGTTAAAAAGTGAATCCCATTCAGTTTTACAATATTTTGCTACAATTGTTAAGTGAATCATGTGGTTGTTAAGCAAGTCTGACTTCCCCCATTAACTTTGCTTGTTGGAAGTCTGGGAAGGTCATAAATGGTAATCATATGAATCCAGATAATTATAAATATATGATGGTTTTATTTAATAACCATCGGGATGTTACAATGGTTGTAAGTGCTAGGACCTGTCATGAGTCACTTTTTTCAGTGCCGTTTTAACTTTGAATGGTCAGTAAATAGTAAATCTTAAAGAACTCATACACCTAAAATTCAATGATACTTAGCCCCTTAATGCTACTCAAGACTATTTTGAGAAAATAATATTCATAATAAGTACAATCCTTTATCCACATATGAACATTTGGAGAATGCCAATCTATGTTCATTAGTTAAGACGCAAGTAAGTTAGAGTTGTCTAATTTTAGTATCAAATTCTAAATGTAGTCATGACAGCAGTGGGGATTTTTACTTAGCTAATGACCACACTGTATTACTGTTGTTGTTGTTCATTGCACAGTCAGCCAGACGTTCAGACAATTTTATCCACGTATCAATTTTTTCCCAAAGATCTGGAAAAAGCTGATGTTTGATTTTTTTAGAGAATGGAAGGATTGATGGAAATAATTGATGGAACAGGCTTAGACTCAACCCTGACAAAACCGAATGGCTCTGGGTCTTGCCCCCCAAGGGTCATTCTGATGGTCCATCATTAGTCTTGGGGGGGAATCTACCTCCCTCAATGCAGGCACGCAACTTGGGTGTCCTCCAGGACTCACAGCTAAATTTGGAACAACATCTATCGGCTGTGGTCAGGGGGATCTTGCCCAGGTTCGCTTGGTGCACCAGTTGCGGCCTTATTTGGACCGGGAGGTTCTACTCACGGTTACTCATGCCCTTGTCACCTCAAGACTGGACTACTGTAATGCGCTCTACATGGGGCTACCCTTGAAGAGCGTTTGGAGGCTGCAGTTGGCTCAGAATGCAGCCGCGAGAGTGATTGTGGGTGCACCAAGGTACACTAACATGTCACCTATCCTCCGCGAGCTGCACTGGCTTCCTGTGGGTCTCCGGACGCAATTCAAGGTGTTGGTTGTCACCTTTAAAGCCCTTCATGGCTTAGGACCAGGTTACTTACAGGACCGCATACTGCTGCATAGTTCCCAGAGACCGGTGAGGTCCCACAGATTGGGCCTCTTTCAGGTCCCATCGGCCAGACAATGTCGGCTGGTGGGTCCTCGGGGAAGGGCCTTTTCTGTGGTGGCTCCGACGTGGTGGAATCAACTTCCCCCCGAGATTCGAACTACTCCCACCTTGCCGGCCTTCAAGAAAGCTATTAAAACTCTCCTGTTCCGGCAGGCCTGGGGTTGATGTCCCCAGGGGGGCCGGGATTCGATTGGGACACGCTGTGTGAATGTATTCATTTTTAATTGTTATACTTGTTGTTTTAATTTTGTATACCACTCTGAGTCCCTAGGGATTGGGCGGCCTATAAATTTTACAAACAAACAAACAAATAAATAAATAATGAGCAACAGAGTTGACATTATTGGTGTATTTTAAAATGTTGGAAGGGTTGGATACAAGCTTTGGTTTTGTTTAGTTAATTTGGTTTAATTTTTAAGCAAAAAAAGTAGGTTAAGCTCCTCATAGGCCTATATTTATCAATCCTGGAAATTTATTTGTGAAAAGAGATAAAAGGCCTCCTTTTTTGTTTCAAATAGAATAAAATTTTCATTAAATATAGTCTTAGGTCATAATAGAGTAATATAGGACACTCAAAAACTGCATGCAAGCCACAAGAGTCAATCCCATCCATAAAATCCTGTCCTCCCACCTTTAGTTATGATTTATTGGGGGAGAGTCATTCTTTTCAGATTAATATATTTATTTTTGCCTTTATTTTACTAAGTAGTCAACTTCAATGATCCTTATGCTTACCATGATAATTGCCACAGACTTTGATGGCTGAAAATGGCAGAAATTAGAATTGCTTGGTTTTTTTTCACAAAGATAATAGTAATATCAATGCATAACATATAGCATGAAAGATAAGTAAGAGTATACACTTGTATATTGTATAAAGCTTCTCTCATTTAATAAAAATCAATTCAATTTGTCTCAGAGAAAGAATTAATGTCAGAGGCAAAAATATTGATTTGTAATAGGTTCTAAATTTGAAAATAAATAAATTTGATCCTGTGAAGTAATTAACTATCACAGGGTAAAATATAAATAGCTCCAGCATTCCATAATTATAAAATAAAGATTTTAAGGGTGCTCCCTAAAGAAGAATTTAAGAACCTATTTCCTTGATTGTCTGAGGTTGTTGATAGTAAAGTGCAAAATGTCTTGAATTCTAACATTTTGAATTTGAAACAATTATTCCATTGTTGCTGAAACAATTGAATTTGAAGTTAGAGCCTAACATTTTTTTGCCTGAAATGCTTCAGTTGAAAAATATGAGTGATAAACCTCAATTTTAGATAATCATAACCAAATAGAAAAAGAATTCCTAGGAGAATCAACTATGAATTGAAACTTATCTAATATTATTCCATCATTTTTCATGTTTAAATAAATAAATAAGTATACATAATAGACAAATATTAAATATGAAATTTTACATTAAATAAAAAGTCAGTGAAAAGAGGAGACTAATTAAGCACAATTAGTTTGTTTTATATATAAAACAGATGCTTAATAAAATTAAGAATGCAGCTCAGGTTCTCTTTTGGGCTACTTAAATTGTCAGTAGTAAGTTCCTATTCAGAATTAATGTATTTTTATGAGCATTTTCTGAGGTGCTAACAAAGACAACTGTGATTTTATGGTATTTTTCTGTGGCTTCTTACTTTGCCTTATAGTCATTTGAGTATATTTGTATGTAAATATACACTTATTTATTCTGCAGGGCTTGCTCTCAGAAATCCTGCGAAAGGAAGAAGACCCCAAGACTGCTTCGCAATCTTTACTAGTAAATCTTCGGGCAATGCAGAATTTCTTGCAGCTGCCTGAAGCAGAAAGAGATCGAATATACCAGGATGAAAGAGAAAGAAGCTTGAATGCAGCTTCTGCCATGGGTCCAACACCTCTTATAAGCACACCACCCAGCCGACCTTCACAAGTAAACTATTTTTTACATTTTTCATACTTTTTTATACATGTATATATATTTGTAACTAAGCCAAACTTCACATATTTTTTACAAATAATGTAATAAAGAGCAGGAAGTTTAATTCATTATTTTAACAATATCAAAACTGCTGTCTGTGTAACAACATAGTTTACTAGAGTGTTCTTTTTTAAAAAAAACAAACCAAACTGGAGAAGACATTTTAAAGAAATTGTCAGTTGAATCAAACAATTTAGCTCATTCCATTTCAACATTTTAAATACCAATTTTAGTGAATATTGATGCTGCTATACTAGTTTAAGTGCAATGCTATACGTATCTTGTGTAGGAGAACTGGCAACATTTATGTTTAGTTTAATCATTAAATGCCCTACAGTTTCTTATTGAACTCAGTTCCGTGAGTTTAAGGTTTAAGTTTAACAATTTACAGTAAATAACTTGTTTTTTCAACAAAAATATGCCAATAATTGATATATCGTTTAATACATGGAAATCTCCATTTTACCATAATTATAAATCTTATTTTTCTATAAATCTGGCTAAAAGAATAGTGTATTAAAATATCTAATGAGAGACTTTTTGGATGCACATTTCCTGTTTCTTGTTACGAAGATAAGAACTGACCTTCATATTTAGAATATAAAATAATTTTAGAGACCATCTTACTATACCTTTAGCTTTTGATCAATTGCTTAAACTTTAAACATCAAAATGGCCTTTTGTAGTTTATATGAAAAAATATAAACTATTGTCTTTTTTAATGTCATTTTTAATGATATATTTGAAATAGCAAAATATAATATAGAGCCTTCCATTCTGGAGAAAAACCACCATGGAGAGAGAAGTTAATAGAAATACTAGTATGTAAATATAACTGTGTTTCTAGGCGCCACAGTAATAATGGAGTAGTAAACTTTGTCCCAATAAAAAGCTATTGGAAAGTATGTGCACTTATTATAACTCTTGTGCATTTGTAGAAGAGGCTTGAAAAGTAGTCTGTTTTTCTTGAAATGAAATACTTCATGAATTTAAATGCACAGTATAAGATTAAAAGCTAAACAAGGATTTAAAAGTAATTTTGTTTCTAAACTAAAACAGTACTTAACAGTACTTATTTATAAAGAGAGAGAGAGAGAGAGAGTGAGAAAGAGAGAGAGAGTGCACATACCTGAGAAAACTATGAACGTTTATGTTTATTAATATGTACTAATTTAATTGTTTCAGCTTTCATTTGTTTTGGCTATATTATTTCTAGTTTTATTATCAATTAAAAGTGTGATGTGCTAGATTTTCTAGAATTTAAACATATTTAAACAGCTTCATCTGATGAGCCTAAAAGAATAAGTTTCTACAAATGTTAGTGGACTTTTTCCTCCCCACAAATGAAGGCAAATATATATGTCCCACGATTATATTGCAGGGTCCAATCTGTGTCAGGCACCAGGACCAGAGGTTAAGTCTTCTGACTTTCAGGCTCACACTGGAGCCCATCCTGAGGGGACTTTTGTCTCACCAGAATTTTTCTTTATTACAATTAATACAGCAAATTGTATTATATTATAAATAACCAGAGTGAATGTATTCCATATTTAAATGTATCATTTTAGTGTTTAAGTCTTTGTTTTGACTTATTTGCAATGTCTTCTGTATTGAGAATGTTACATGAAAACCAGCTATTTTGAAGATTTTAATTTTATCATTTGTTCTTTAATTTTATCATTCATTCTTCATTATCTTCATTCTAACTCTTAACATTTCTTTTTAGTAATCTTAATTTTATAACCTCACTTTTTTGGGGAAACTATGTTTATAAAGTATCATACAATAAACGATGACTGATGCTTTCAGTAGAAATTATGGAGGAAAACCATAGCCTCTGAAAGGTTAATTAACAGTATATAATATAGTGTTCACTAGAGCACAGCAAACTAATCATCCATGCTATTCTTAATGGGTCAGGAGAAAATGTTAAGAAAGAAGGGAAAGATATTCAGGTTACTCTGTTAAGCAAGACTTTGGAGAAAAAAAATTTTTTTTTTGAAGCAACTATATACCAGTTTATCAACACACATCAACCATCTCCTAATGTTTTATTAAATGTTTATACATTTTTTCTATAGAGATGTATGAATCTTTATCCACTAATATTCGTATAGTCAAAGCAATCTCTATTATAATCAGTCAAAAGCTTTCCTAAAAATAAATATGTGATCAAAATACTTATGTATCTAAGTAAATACAGTTTGTGTGTGTGTTTGTGTGTGTATATTATTTTTAACTTTATAAGTCCATATATATACATAACTGTCCAGTAAAATAATGTTTAGACATTAAAATTTTAATAATGTTGATATTTATGTGCTTATTAGGCTTATATATAATGTTAATTAGAAGCAGAATTTTGACCTGGCTTCAGAGCAGCACTTCATTACTTTTCATTAAAGCAACCTAAAATTTGCAGCTATTCAGATAAGTCTGAAAAAATAGTGATGCTGCTTCAAGGAGCTGACATTAAAATTTAATGCAATTCTTAGGTAGTGTCATCTTTTTCTTAAATTTCAACTAAAGTAAAAAGTCAAACTTATTTAATAAATAGCAGAGAAGGAGTTTGTTCATATTCATAAGTACATACATGTTTTATGGTTTCTAAGATATAACCTATGTAACTTTAGCACATTTCAAAAATATGTTCTCTAATCTTGCAAAGGGGTGTGTGATGGCTCAGTAGTTAGACATTGAGCTTGTCAGCTGGAAAGCTGGTAACCCTGGTTGCACAATTGGCTGAGCTCCCATTCCTGCCCCAGCTCATCCTGCCCACGTAACATTTTGAAAGCATAAGCAAATGAGAGTAGATTAATACCTACTACTTCAACGGGAAGATTCCACGCACCATTGGCATTCAGCCATGCTGGCTACATGACCACAGAAAATGTCTTTGGACAATAGTGGCTACTGTGGCCAAAACAGAGATGAGTACCGTGCCCTATAGTTAGACATGACTGGATAGGGAAACCTTTACCTATACCAGGGGTCTTCAAACTTGGCCCTTTTATGACTTGTGGACTTCAACTTCCAGAATTCCTCAGCCAGAATGCCTGGCTGAGGAATTCTGGGAGTTGAAGTCCACAAGTCATAAAAGGCCAAATTTGAATACCCTGGCCTATATCACAATCTTGCAAATAACAAAAAATGCCTTTGGTGACTCAAAATAATCTAGTACATGTTCCTGCAATGCTGCCTTTTTTTTCTAATCAATATAAGATGCAAACCAATCCACTGCAGCAATAATTTAGAGCAACTTGGGTTCTCAGAAATGATTGGTTTTTTACATTATTTCGTAAGACATTGGAATACTAAAATGTACTTCAGATTACCTTAAACTAGAAAGTTTTTCTGAAAAAAACTCATAAAGCTATGACAAAATTAAATGTTGAATATAATATTTTTTAAAAAATATGTGAATGTGTATAGAATATGGAACTGTAACCAGCTGACATTCATACTTTAATTAGATGTTCTATGATAAATTACAAAGTCCTGCAGTTGTACAAAAGAAAAGAGGGATATAAATTTAATAATAAGCAATAAATAAATAACATATTTTATTTAATAAATTGACAGTACTGAAAGTTTGAGATGGATTATAATGGATTGTGAGAGAGGATTATGTTTAGCATATATCTCATCAGAAATAATCCATGAATGAATTAGAATTATTCTGATTAGTCTTCTCAAAGTTAGACATGCTTTTCAATTTTCAATATTTCTGAATAAATATGATCTAAAATATTATGTGTTCTTAATTAATTAGTTCTTCTCAAATCTTAAAACTAGATAAAGAAAACCGAAATAAATGAATGTCAAAAAGGTAATATTTTATTTATTGAGGAAAGTGATCAAATTTAACATATTTGTGTGTATAGTAGTTATTGTGTCTTGAATTTCTTCAAAACTTTAACAAGTGTCCTTTGTTAAGTACAGAAGGAAGAAATTATACCAATTACTGTCTTGAATTGGTATTTTGTTCCCTTCTTAATTTTTAGAGCCTCATTTTATTTTATTTTATTTTTGTATATTCTGTGATAATTCTTGTTCATATGTTTTCCATAATCATATTAGATTAATTTTTTCCAAATCTTTTTTCTAATGTCTTCTGATATAACAGCTTCTTCTGAGTACAATAATAATAATAACACACAACATAGCTCACAGTGCTGGCCCAGTCCAATTGTCATTCCTCAACAATAACAATTATAAGTTAATTACATCCAATATCAAAAATAATGGTTCTTTCCCAAGAAAATGGATTATTCTTTAAAATTAATTTCAAAGTCTTAATACTGAAAATCAAACATTTCTTTTCTGAGACATTCCATTTAGCTATAGAAAGAAGAAACTTTCTATAGCTAAAACTGCCTTGCTTTTCGCTGTTAATTTTGAATTCTTAAAGCTTATAAAAATACAGTTTTATTTTCTTATATTAACAATTAGAAGCGCTCACCTGGTGCTTCCAGTCTTGTCATTTTGAAGAAGTCCAACTTTTTAAAGTAATTAATAGGTAATTTCTAAAGGCAAAGAAAGTGTGATTTTAGTCTTCTCTGAAGACTCTGCTGTGGCTAGAACAAGAGGCAAATTCCTCATCTCCCAGTTCTCCCACCCTCCAGAGACCACCGTCTTGGAGACTTCCTCATGAGGAACAAACATATGAAGTGAAATTTAGGCAATCTCACATTCTTTCTTTCTTCAGAGAGGGTCAAAGGAACCAATCTACTTCTTGTTCTTAACCATAATTGGCACCTCTACAAAATGCGAATCCATATCCAATCTGCCATTTCTTCCCCAAAAAACCAGAACTCATAGTTCCATCAATAATGGCAAACTGTCCTTTTCCAAAATCAGCAAAGCAGACTCAAACCATGATATTGCCAGTTCCATATTTTATAGATAGGATGAGATTTTTATGCTGGAATTCAGTGTTTGCCTTTCACCAAATATAAAACTTCTCTTTTGAGCCAAAAGTTCTATTTTGCTCTTCTCTATCTACAGAAAATTCTTCCAATAGCCTTCTAGCTTATTCATGTGGCCTTTTGCAAATTGTAGACAGGCAGCAATGTGGTAGCTTTCTTGCTACTTTGTCATGCACACCATTATTGTTCACTGTTTCCCTCTCATAGTCACACCTGATTATTATCCCATTGATTGAAACAATTGATTCTACTTTCCCCATCAAACTAAATGATGATCCTAAAGGTTCAATAAAGGTTTATTGAGACATATAATCCAAAGATATAGCTTTGGATCATATGTCTCAATAAATATATTTGATGAACAAATTATATGAACAATATAATATTTTTGACTTATTTGTTTATCTTGGTTTTGCTTATATAGTTTTAGGATTTGCATGGAGAACAAATTTTATGCTGGATTTTAGGTCATAGTTACGAAGAAACATTGAAAGCTCAAATGGGTTCACAAACTTTTAAGCATCCTTGAATGGGATTAATTTATCTTGCCTTGAAATTGTCTATAAAGTATGAATACTTTATCTCTGATGAAAAAGCCAGGTAAATATTCCTCCATCTTGTTTAGGAAAAAAATGACAAAGAAAATTGGGAAAATGTGCAGGCATTTATTCGTTTTTTAATATATTTATTTATCTACAAGTATTTATTTATTTCATTTTCCACAAAAACAATTCTCCTTAACACTGTAGGAAGAGAGAAAGCACTTAAATGCTTTCAAATTCTATTTGATCACTTCTACCAGAATCTACTTAGAAATAATATTTTTAAAAAATTAAAAATTTGAAGTTAAAAAAACACTAAAATGAATAGCAAAAGTGTGGCAAAAAAGAGGCATTATGCTTATTCTCCATTTGTGTTGAACATGGCGGCCAAAAAAGATTTTCACAAATACATTCCTGTGCTTGGGTACAACACAGAATAAAAGGATGTCTGATATCTAAGGCAACTTTCATCTTCAGCGGACCTCTCTTTTTGAAGATGAAATAGGGAAGTTCACTTAAAGCTCTATTTGTCTCTCTTGGCATGTTATTTAAACATTTGGCAGTAGCTTGTTGTAGGAAATATATAATTATTTTACCTTATTATTATAATTGAGTTTGAGAATAAGCCTCTTAATTTCATTGGAACTTATTTCTAATTAAGAGCACTTAAACTCTAGTGTGTGCTGACAGTTATAGTACCTCTTAACTGGGCATCTTTTTTATCTGTTGAATAATGATATATCATATTTCTAGGTAAAAACAACTGCTATTTCAACAGAAAGAAATGGAAAACCTGAAAATAATACCATGAATATTAATGCTTCCATTTATGATGAGATCCAACAGGAAATGAAAAGAGCTAAAGTATCTCAAGCATTATTTGCAAAGGTTGCAGCAACAAAAAGCCAGGTAAGTCTTGTGGTCATCTAGGAATTAATGTTGCTATTCTTGCTTCTTTGTTGTTCAGTTTAGTTGGATGACTATATGAATAAAATCCTTTAAATGTTAAGTGTGATTAAACACAATAAGAAATTTATTGGCTTCTCTAGAGTGTAGGTCAAGATGTTTTTATCTGACTATATTTTTTCTGAAACATTATAAAATATGGCATATTTATGGGCAATATGGTGAAAAACTGTTATGTTAACCAATCATGTAGCCTTTTGTATTCTTTTAATACATTCAGTATATTACCACTCTGTATAGGTGCAAATCTAGATATCCTGCAATCCTTTCTGTTCCATTTCCCCAACCTAATCTTCTTTTTACTTAAGATTAGAAAGGTTAATGATTATTCTGATATATGCCTAAATTTTCTGAATCATACTGACAATAGTCCAGATCTAAGAGAAAGGAATCCAAAAGTGAGGAAACATAATGCGGAAGGAGGGAAGATTTTTAGGGAGAGAATAATTTTATAAAGAAACTAAAATAAACAAATTTAGTGTAAAGTTTGGCAGTTTAGAACTTCAAGGACTGCTTTATTTTAAGTAGATTCTAGCTAATGTGACTTGTTTTAAGACTTGATTGATGATCTGCTGTTATGGATGTCCCAGTGGGGAACCATATAAAGACCTTAATAACTAAATATAGTAAGAAAAAGGTGGTGCTTCCAAACTGTTTCTAAGATAAATCAACAGAATTGTGCAGCAGTTCAGTACACATGACATTCAAGGAGCAAGTTCTGTGTTTTGTTTTGTTTTGTTTTAAGGCTAAATGTGATCCTGAGAAATGACCATATATGTTTGGTATAGAGATGAGTTTTCAAACTCATTTGTGGAATCATGGATTTCCATGAGATTCCATACGATGGGCTTCCATGAGATAAATGGGAAAAAAATGTAACTTGAACTTAACGGGCTTTTTTATCATTAAAACCTTACATCTTAATCAGGAGATCCAGATATATTTTTTGTAACCACAAGGTTCTATTCTGATGCCCAAAATATTTTTTTTTTTATCCCTAAAAGCCTGACTTTCTTTAAGAGGTCAAGTCAGCATATCCATGTAATCATTTCACCCTTTTTTTTTCCTGTCCAATATTTAACAAACTATGTTCAAATAACCAGCTCAACGATACTTGGTAGTCTTTAGGGCTGAAAGTTTTAACTAGATTTCCCTATTCCAAATATACTACTCTAATGTAGGATAGGAAACTTGGTTCTTTTCACCTATTTTGAATTCCCTTACCTATAAACCACAACCAACATTTTCAGTAGTAAGTTACAATGAAATAATAGTCCCAAATAACTGTAAAGTATCAATACAAAATCATGATAGTTCCCAGTTCAGATTGAATAATTTGTGGTTTGAGTTCAGGATGCCAAAAATGACGGCAATCAATGAATGTACAGGAGCCCATTTATTCATATTGTTTGAAAATATTGTGACAGTAGTTTGGATTCTGACTTGATCAGGTTTAATAATTCACTTTGTATCTTTGATGGATTTATTTTCCCTATGCACAAACTTTAATGCACCTTCAGTAACAAACAAGCACAATGTTGCTTTGATATAAATAAGGTATTTTTCCTAATCTTGAATTTGTGTTTGTCTTTGTTATTTTATGGGATATTGAATTAAACCCAAGTATATGTTTAGACAGTCTAAAACTTTGACCTAGATGTTTTTATATAGTACAAGGTATGATATATTCCATGAATATGGAATGATTTATTTTGGAATAAATATCCATTTCAAATCCATTTCACTTTTGTTAAATGGTGAATTAGAAAAAAGTGACACTAACAACAATTTTTAAATTTTAAAATGTCATTTTAATAAATTTCATCTGTCAATGAGAGAATCCTTTCAGAGCGCTGGATTAACTTTATGAGTTTACATCTCTGAATAAATATGCAGAATTAAAATATATAAATTGTAAGTTAATTTTGTTAGCTGATCATTGTTCTTGGAATATATTTGTAAATTTAAATTACTCTAAAAATATTAAGAAATTAGGTATTGAATTGCAAAATTAACCTGAAAGGTCAAATCTAGTGTCCATTTTTCTCTTAAAAAAGGAAACACTTTTTCAGTCCTGGCTGAACTAACTGATGCCACCTTTCTTTATACATGATAGACTTTAAATTCTGTTATTGCAGTTTGCTTTATTATTTAAGCTGTAAGTTTGGAAATGTTTGCAGTTGGGAATTGCTCCATCTTTCATTATATAAAAAATATGTTTCTTTTTAAAGTTATATGCTGTAAGGAATACTTAAAAGGATATTTTGGAAATGTTACATCAAAATGATTAAACTCAAGCTGTGGACTGTAAAAAATTACAGCTTTACAGGCCACATGCCTGCCTACCCTTCAATCACTGTCAAAGTGATAATTTCTGCAATAATATGTTTCTTTTATTGTAGGATTCTAAACACCAAGTGCTGTTTAAACATTAAACTGAATTGTTTCTCTTAGCATTGCACTCACTGTGTCATACATCAGGCCACTACAATCTCTTGTGAAATGTAAAATTCTGTCATGAATCATGGCTTGTGTATTGGAAATTACTGTAATTTTGATTGGAAATTACAGGGCTCTTGAAATGTTTCTAATTATGATAGAATGTTAACCATGACTTCAAATCTGTATGCTTTTTTGATATTTCTATTTTCAAAAGAAGGTTATACAGTGTGCATTAAGAAGAAATATCCATTGTCAGCATCTTTCTATATTACCTATCCTTAATATTTTTTGCTTTACTACAGTTTATAGTTACTGAATTGTGTACTGTATTTGGTGGCACTGAATCTAAGATTTTGTCTTCCATGAATTGCATCTGCAGTCACATATTGGATTTTTATTAATTTTAGATGTTGTATGTCTTTTATTTATTATTGTTATTATTATAAGGTTTTTATCTTCTTTATTATTTTTATAAATACCTCAAGAGATCAAATTCAAGGCTTCTTCTATTAGTTGATTTCTTAAAATTATTTAAAAGAAAGTTAATCGCTAAAAGCACTAAAAATCTCTCTTAAAAGGGCAGCAGAAATAAATAGCTCTTCATTCATTACTGTCCTAATAATATAGTGTATATATGCAATTAAAAATATATTAAAAAACATTTAGACTTAAGCCATCATCATTATTGGTAACAAGCTACTTAAAAATGTTGCCTCAATTCAAATTGTATTTTTCATAGGAATCATTACCTTTGATTTATAATTTAGAGATATTATATATCATCTATGTTATGTGGATACCCATTTAAATAATAGACTTTCAGCTGTCTATAATTTTAAGTTGATATTTTAGAATTTTATTGAATTTATGTTTAATTGCTTTTAATCTACTGTAAACTGCCTTTAGCTCTTCCCTATTTTGGGATCTCTGAAAAACCAGATTAATTTTTTTTATAAAAAATTATACAAAAAATTGTAAAAAAGTTCCTTCCTAAGAAAAAAATATTTTATTTCATTTGAGTTTTCAGCACCAAATAATACTTTTGTTCATAGACAGCACTTAAAATTTTAATGTTTGCTTTCATATGCCCACATAAAATATATATTATCATTTTATGGAGACTACTTCAAGCATTTACATTGCCTTGCCATACATATTGTGGCATGGAAGTTTCTTATTTGGAAAGCTTTTTGTTCTCTGCACTGTTGGATATTGATGGATGCTAAAAAGAATCCAAAGAGATAAGGCAAGTTTAGGCAAGTGTAATATAAAATCTTGCTTGTACTTTATCATTGCTTCCATTAACAACAGCTATTATTGATCATTTGAACAGCATAACTCATATAAATACAAACACAAAATCACATTGTGTTTAGTTAGTGCCATGGTATTGCTTACATTATAAAGATATATATTATCTAGTATGAATGTTGATGATACCTGTAAGTTTCTATGACGATCTACTCGGGTGACATACAAATGCTTAGAAGCATCTAAGATACATGTAAAGATTATATTGAGTTCCAGGATTTTATACACAAAGATATCTATAAGGGAGAGAGAGAGACTAATACAAATAATCCAATTTTTGTAATTTTCAGCAAGGCATTGTGATTTTATCCTGTCTTCAAGGTACTGTCATATCCTGCAGTATTATCATATTCAGTACCTGGGTTTTGTTTGGTGTAGTGTTAAAAACAGCACAACATACAATTTTATGGCATTGTCACTTTTCTTTGTGGTTTGTATTTGCTGAACAGAATATAAATTGTGGGATCCTTGGTGCAATCTGAGCTTGATGGTTTTCATGCAAGCCCTGCATTAATTGTAAAGCATGTTGAAGCTGTATATAACTCTAAGTGCTATTGCTATTTCGTTACCAAATGAGGTAATATCACCAGTGCAGTTATTGATGATGTTATTTAGTGCGGTAATGAAACATCTGCAAGAAAACCACCAAGCTCAGAGAGCACCAAGGACCCCACAATTCAAGCCTGGGTTATAAATATTCTATCAGAATAGAAATAATAGTTCAATGAAGACTTACATTGTATAGCCAATACTTAGTTGTTACATGAGTATTTTAAATTGTGACACTTCATTAGAAACATTCATTAGTTTTTCTTTATATAGAGCTTCTTTGTAAAATATCACTTCTTAAAAACATGATTGAATAACTTTTTTCAAACATTTACCTCTTTACATAATTGTTGGAGAATGTAATTGTCCTGCACTTTTTTTCTCCCAATTCAAAGAGTTACACACATGCTTAGAGAAAGAGAAAGTATATTCTTACATGTTTCTTTTCTTGTTTCCCCACCAATGATTCATATATATCAAACTGGAATGTACATTGTCACGCTAACATTTTTCTGATCATACTCCCACTTCAGGCTTTTCAGTTCATAACTCAGGTTTCAATATTCAGGATTGGAATGTTGAAAGTATTTTTGAGATATTTGGAATTAAATTTCTTCTTGGTCTATGGGAAATTTGCTTTG